CGTACGTTACGTTCGTTCTCTCTCTCTCTCTCTCTCTCTCTCTCTCTCTCTCTCTCTCTCTCTCGTTTAAATAAGGAAAGAAACAGTAGCTAGCAGTAACGGACGAGAATAATGAATAGAATATACGATAACGCTGTAATATAAATAGTTGGCATCGTGCCAGATAAGTTAATTGCTGGATCAGCAGTACTTCCGTTTGTTCACCACGAGCTCTTGGCCGGCTAGCTAAATTTTTCTTGGCAGAAAGCATGCGTTTAAATTCGCAAGGTATTTCTGTTTAATATACCCGGTGCCCGCACGTTCAGTTCTCATTTACGCGATTAAATCTAGCGCGCGGCACGCCACGTGAAATACCGATTTTTTCCTTTTTTAAGGACAACATATACGAGGCGCACGAGCAATCAGCGACAAAAGAAACGGGGAAACAATTCACCGCAACTGCATTCGTCGACATGTCGCGCGAATCACGCGAGTTCTCTTTTTTTTTTCACGCCAGGAAGACGAACGGAATCGAATTCCGCCAAATGTTGAAAGGTTTCGAAGAACCACGTAAATTCGCGTGACAAAAATCGGGTCGACACAATCCGAGGCGCCAGGATTAAAATTCTGACTGCACAAAACAATGGTACAATAATGAATAATTAAGAACTTTAAGTAACGGCGCGTAATATATATGAGCCAGCTTGCGATAATATCTCACTGCGCAAATAATATTCATGTTTATTTCATTCATTCGTGACTTACATCTTGGTACTTTCAGTTACATTTTTATATGTCAGCTCGCTCTCGTTTTTTTTTTATCGACCACATGTGCTTTATGACGCATCGACCAAGGACATCACCGTTGTCTCCCTCGATCCGTCGTGACTCTCATGGTCCTGAGAGGACTCGTCCGAGGACCGACGACGAAGCAATTGAGGATCTATGATGAGTCTGACATTGACGGTGCTCTTCCACCACCTGTACCACGGCGACACCTGGTCCTGAGGAAGGAGAGACAAATGTGAACGAGTGGAGAGAACCGCCGGGGGTCACGGCTGCTCCTTTTCTCGCCGATTTAAATTATCCGGGCAGTTTCAGTTGTCAGGGGCAAAGGGCAGTCCACTCGATAAATCAGGCTCGAGTGACGCGCCTCGAGTGCCCTCCGACGTGAAAAAGAGAGAGAGGGCGGGAGGGAGCGAGGTACAATCGAAAATGGAAGAGACGGCGATTCGGAAAGTGGCGCGTATTCACGATTATTCTTAATTAAACACGACGTCCGACGATTTCGATTCAACTGCAGCGATTTACGGCGCGACGCGACCGATGGTTTTATTTAAAAGCTTACCGTCCCACCCGACTCGTACGCGGAGAGCACTCTGCGCTTCAAAGTGCTCGTAGGATCTTTCGCGAGGATTAACGAGAGCATTCGGTGACGCGAGATTCGTTAGCCTGCTCTCGGATAGCCGGACGAAATATCGCTCGCCAGACGAATCATTTCGCCTGCCCATCCTCACTTAGTACAGCCTCTAGCTTCAATAGTACAGTAGAGACGTTAAGCGGCGTGAATAATTCTTCCTTGGATCGAAGGCGCACTTTGTTCCAGGCGGAATAATGTATTATAGATCCTAGTGGCTGATAAATCTTTCGATTTATCGGCGACATTGATCTGCACCGTACCGAGAATATACGTATACTACGTGACTAGATTGCCACATATATTCTTGAGGTATATCGGCGAAAGATGTTATAGTGATATATACGATAATTATGCTTCCATAATAAATTGTGAAATAATAACAAAGTATAATCTTCAGTCAAAGTTACTTATATAATAGCCTATAAAAAATTGTTAATAAATTAACTTTCACTCAAAAATTTTTAAAGAATTTGCTAGTAATTAAATTGAAAATAGAATTCACGAAGTATAGATATTACATTATATAAATTAATAAACAAAATAATAATATTAAAATATTAATAAATAAAATTTTTATTTTAATTATTACTATCTTATGTGTTTAAATATTATTTATTTTCAACTAACAATTTCTTAATGCTTAATTTAACTAACAGTTATAATTTTTAATTAAATGATAAGACCTGGAGTTTTCATTAGATAACTCGGAAAATAATTGTTGGTGCAATAGTCTGAATTTCTCATATTTGCATGCGAAAACTTGAGAATCTCCATATTCATGTTAGAGATGATGCCAATAATAATTAATTTAATAATAACTTTAGGGTAAAATAATCAAATCTAGCACTTGTTGAGGGGCTCCACGGTAATTAACTATATATGGAAATTTAATGAGCATTAGCAAGCATTTTAGTATGTATAAACAATCGCCATAAATATTCCATAACGGAACTCCCGTTTAATTCACGCTGACGCCGTAAAGATTATGATCTTCATTTCACCAAGGTGAGTAATATTAATTTAAGTAAACTTAAGTAAATCGTATAGTAAATATGACGACATAAATAAATACGCTTGTAGATAAATATTTGCGATTCACGTCACAATTTTCCAATTATTGAGAAAAAAAAGAAGCGTTAACGAAAATGCTTTTCTTAATGCCAGTCGCACTTTTGAGGCATAAGGTAAAAAAAGTTAAATCGTAAAGAGCGACTCTCGTAAGAACATAAACGCGTGACATAATTTCTCTTCTCGCGAAAGAGAATATCTTAGCAATATCTTCAGACCTAAAAGAGATCCTATTAGCTATGTTTCCAGCTCGCTCGGTACGCGCTCCGTCTTACGCCGTACGTATTCTTTTCATATCAGAGCGTCGTATGTCTTTCGCGCTCTTCCGGCGCAGAGTGCGTTCTGACACGTTTGTTCCGGGTCGCTCCTCCCGTGCTATCTCTCCCGTGCATTCGAGCGTCGGGACACCGCTCACCTGTTTCACCCTTGCACCGCGCCTTAATGCGCCCGCCCGGGGCGGATGTTGCTATCTGGCCCGGCGAGATCGTGCCGCATAAACGTAAACCTCGGCACGACGACGTCGCGCTGGATGCGACATAAAGTCGATGACCCCAGAGGATGCATGCTGATGCAAGTTATCCCAGCATCGGCATACGTTACTAGTCAAAAGTGTCCGAATACCATGATTCCATATTCTTACGACACATATATCTCGGCCAGATATATTCTTCGAAAGATATTATGCGGTAAATAACTCACACGCGCGTTATGCGCGAGGCATCTCTGGTTTACCGTGGTTTACCTTTCAGCTAAAGATAGTACGGTCTAAATTATGAAAAATGGCCATTGTTTCAAAACTCGAAGCGTCAATAAGTATTAAGTTATGGGTATTATGCCATGTATTGATCTACACGTTCAAAGTATCCTTGGAAACTTGAACGTATAAAAAGTCTAACTCGTGATTTCTAAAAGAATGTTTGGCAAAAGCATTATTTATCTGCCAGGTTAATACCCAGAGATTTTAAAATAATATGAAATATAATAATGATGAAAAAAAAAGATTTTAATATTATAATTTTAAAATACTTTTAATTATATTTAATTATACTTTTAATTATGTCGCATCTTTTTTGCGAAATAATATTTAAATTAAAGTTAAATATAAAAGTAATTTTGTAATAAATTCAATATCGTTAGAGTAAACACATCGATCTATGTTTATAGCCAATATTATAAAAAAGTTAATATATTTTAATTGATTATATAAAAAAATCAGTATATTTTTTATATATGCCATATGCAATTTATATTTATTAAAATAGACAAAACTTATTATCGTATTTATCTTTCGGAAAATGAAATTTCATTCATTGGCATCTAATTGTAAAGATACATATAGTCCTCTGAGGAATCAATATATTAAATACATTTCATTTTAAACGTTGACCTCATTTTATGAACATGTAATATTACGCGATTGGATATTTCACGAATTTCGCATCGTTAGTATATACATAAACCAATAATTCCGTAAATTTAGCTTTTAGTGAACTAATCCGTATAAATTTAATAAGATACTCGTATGAATATATTGAAACATGTATTCAACGGAAAAATGACAATGTAGACATAATATTATGTCCATATCTTCGCAATATTAATTAAATATTTAATGATGTAATTTTGATATTATATAAGTTACTTGATGCATCTTTCATTAAGCTAATTAATGTAGCTCAATTACATATAGCATATTTCTATTGAATATTAATGTAAAAGAATTACGTGGCAAAAGCATTTATTTTGATTATTATTTAATTCAAAGATATCAACAACATCCTGTCTAGTCGTGACTATTAAATTAAATCAACATTTATTCTTATTAAATGTAATCTTCCTCTTATTAAACTATTGATAATCGAAAAGAAGAAATAAATCGGAAGTATAATTACCCTGCAGAGCAGGTAAACTGTAGTGACGTAGCCTAATATCACGATGGTCAGGAAGAACCATATCGCTCCTCGCGTCCAGGGTTTAGAAATCCCAATCTTTTTCCCCTCGATGATAAAATATCGCATACCTGCAAAATTATAGCGGATAACAAATATATATAGTTTGATGCAGTTTCATAAAAGTAACACTGCTTATCAAATGGAACTGAAACTGAGGCTTCATCAACATACGATCCAAATTCTTTTCCGCAATAATATATCGTGCAATAATGTATAACATTATTTTTTGTAAACATAGTTCTAAAAAAAATTTAAAATGCAGAAAATACGTATCAAATGTTTATATGCAGAAAAATTTATTAAAGTATCTAAAAATTTAGCGAGATATAGAAGATAATTTTGTTAAATCATCAAAATAATTATGTAGGACGTTTAAACATGAAATTGATGTTGCAAAAATTTTTAATATTCTAGCAATCAATTTAACTGCTTAACGTAATTGTTTTCATGGTCCAAAATTATCTTCAGACTTCTACTTGCAAAATTTTTAAATACTTCAGCAAAACTGCAGCTGTTCTTTTCGTGTACATTTGTATGATTCTATGTAACATTTAAATAATCAAATATGTAATAAAGTTATATATTTGAAAACGCGAGATTATGTTAGCGTCAGAATAATAAAAAATATATAGTGCTATTCTTAATAATATACTTTTTTTCTAAATATGTTTTCTTAAAAAAATGGATTTAGTTACAAAAAGAATAACTATATTGTATGAAAGATTCCAGATTTGTCGAATTAGTTGCAAAATGCATTAGGCAAATTTGATACATGCAGAGTATTACCAATAATAGAACTAACTAAAAGATTTTCAGGTGTTTCTTAACTGTTTATTTGCTTCGTAGTGGACGACAGTTTCCGTTATATATAAAAGAGCCACTCACCCAAAAGACATACCACGGCTAATCCCACCGTAACGATCGTGAGTAACGTTAAGATGAGCAGATCTGATTCTATATTTCCACGATTCCGCGGGAGGCTGATCCATATCCTCAGAGATTCTGGCCTGGAGGTACCCATAAAAATGATAACTACGCGCGGCTGGGTGCAGCCATTAAGATAAAAGCTCAAAAAATTCATCCTTAGAGGGTGCTCTCATACGGAGAAAATATTTGTCTATAAACTATATTATGCGATATTAGAATTAAAACGCAATATGTTCAACAATTATATAAATATAAAACGTACTCTCTCGTTATTTCAAATCACGAAAAAATGGCTATAAATGAAATATATGTACATGTGAGCAAAATTGATATTATTTGAGAATGAACGTTTTATGAAATTTAAAAAACGAATTTATTTGCTGTTCTAATTCCAACAGCCAGATTGCAAACTTAAAATGATGCATCGCACGTTACTTTAACACATAAATCAGAATGCAAAACGGTTGCGGTTGATTCCCGAAGCCGGTTACTCGATACATCGTTTTTGAAGTTAACTCCAAACTGAAGTCTGATCGACTCACAGTGAGGAAACAAATTGCACAGAAGAAAATAGAAAAAAAAAGATATGATCGAGCAATTCATCGCAGAAAGGAGAATAATGGGTGCAAAAAACGAAATAAGGAAAGGCTCCGGCGGAGAATCGAAGTGCATTTCAGATGCTTGAATTACATCCGACTTGGAAGTGCGCCCCTCCCTCGCGTTAACCCGATAAATGTAACGCTCACCATCGATAACGAGGCGTCTCTACGGCATTGAAGTAATATCGGCACAATTCGCAATAGGTTCGGCTCGACTGATTCAGCCATCGTTCCAGACAGGACAAGTGTACATAAGCGAGCGTGCCCTTGCACCTGAAAGAGATACACTATGTATGTACATCGTCTATATTGCAATATTGTGCTATGCTACAGAAACGCATACGAGAGAATACCATGCGATTTTATCACGCGAGAAGACAACGGTAAGGGAATAACATTCAATTACGCTTTCTCTTTGTGGAAAGCGAAATTTTATTTGTGTCATTTAAAGAACACAGGAACTCGATGAATTGCGTCTAGACGGCGAATCCGAGATGAGCTTGTTGATGGGATAGAAGTTAAGTGCTAAGGCTTCGTTGATTCTTTTGCTGCGCACTCAAATACATTTACTCAATTGTTTTCGAGCAAATGCACAAAAGACGGAGCGAGTATCGAATTAGATTCGAGTTTTAAAATCTGTATTAAGAAAAAAATTGTCTTCAGGCCGTGTTAAATTTTAAATTATTCTTTATATCAAATTATTTAAATAAAATGATTACTAATTTTTTAATAAATATACAATTAAATGAAAGCGTATTTGAATGAAAATGTTATTGAAAAAAGTGAATTCTACTTGATTAAGGTATTGCATTCATATTATAAAATCCTTTTGGCCGTGAATATCTGTAAGGGTGAAATTGCACAAGCACATCAGTCTATAGAATCTATTTTATATAGGAAAATGTTAAATCTGTTCATTCATGTTCACTGGTGACACAAATCATTATGAAATGCATTTCGCCATTCGAGAACGTAAGAAAGATAAGTTATACCCGATTCCACATTATTCTCCGGCGCTTCGAACCGAACGCCTATGGCTTCGAAAGTAACATTCGGATTAAAAAGGATTTCCGTAAGTTCGAGAATTATGAAGGCAACCGCTCGGGAGATTTGCAGCGAGCCACTCTCATTTCGCACGTTCCCACTGCGTTTTCACGTAATTCTTCGAGCACGAGTTGTGTGTCCTTAATCGCCGGGACACGTTCCTCGAACTATTCACTCATTTACGCCTTTCCACCACTCGGTTGCACCAGGCCGTGAATGAGAAAGGGAAAGGACGAAAGAGGGAGGAGGCGAGGGAGAAGTTCCCTTCTTATAACATTCTCCCCCTCGTCCTTTCTTAGCACGATTTCCCATCTCGCAGGCAACGCGAGAATTATGCGACTACGTGAGGTCGATTTCAGTGTCGAGCCGGTATACTTCATTCAGACGATAGAGTCACGACGTTTCGCTTTGTCAGCCGTGTTAAACGACCGCTATTCCGACCGGGTAATCTCGTTATTATAAACAGCACCAGCAACTATCACGACATGTTCCTCGCTTTGTACGCATCCTACGTTTACGATGTATGCAGCAGCACGCAAATTAGTTCGAACGGAAGTCAGTAAGCCTGAATTGTACCACTGCGCAGCGTAGTGATCTCAAAGACAAGTTTATGCGTTAAAATCTCGTTAAGGTGATGTCAAGCTCGTACGATATTTCCTCGTTAAATGAAGAGAGGAAACTTGCGCACAACTAAATGTAAAATATTTAACTTGTACGTAAAATATTTAATATATCAATCTCGAAATATTCGAATTGTTCGTCTAATAATAAAAAAAGATCGTGCAAGCAAATAAAATGTTAGAACATCTTTTTTTTAACAAATGGACTTACAGAAGACAATTATCACGTTTTGTTATCTAATATTATTTTAGCTTCAATTTTAGTGAATGAAGATATCAAATGTTAATAAATACTCTATTGGTCTAATTGTTATAAATATATTAAAGATACCTTATTAATTAAATCGTTGAAAATAATAAAAAATTTTTTTAATGAACAAAAATATGCAGTGTAACAAAAAGCGTTGCGGTAAATAGCAGCGGATAAAACAATTCCCTTTTACATGATTTGCTCGTCCCATGGCTCACGGTATGATAAACTTTTCTCTTTGGCAACTCGACGGTATACATGGACGATGATTAGCCCGCGTATCCGGCGAAGCAGTTATCATCTAATGAAATTTATCCCGCTCTTCTTTCACAGCGCGATTCGCCGTGGAATATATCTGCCGCGTTACGACATCAGTTTTGCGATTGTTCCAGCGAACAATGCACGGTATGCAGCAGAATCCGGAATACTCCGTCAGCGTTGAGTGCGATATAAGGAGCGAATATTAAACGAGAAATAATTCGCGGGCGGCCGCTAGGAAAGTTGCTGGCATCGTCCGGAAAAATTTCAACTCAACTTCCAATAATGAAACATTTTAAACAGTCCACCTCTGCCACGATCCTATCAGGATTTTTAAACATTACCGTGATGTTATAGTTCGCAACATAACTTCATCCCTTAATTAATTAATAATAAGTGTGCGAAAATATTTTTTGTGCACATAATGTAAAATGTGATGAACAAGATGCGGTGATAAGCAGAGACAGATGAGATTAATATCCGCGCGAGAAGAGTTTCCTATCCTATATTTCCTTGCCCTCTCAAAAAACGGGCGGGAGAAGGGAAACAAATTTGCTTACTCGAGAGATAAAATCGAGCATTCGTATTCTCGGAGGATGCGAGGACACGCGTGCATTTAGCGGCGGGATCTGCGAGACTACAGATGTTCCTACCACGAGGGGCAACCATTTTGCTTTCCACCGTAAATAATCGGTCGTGTCAAAATTCGCGATGATTCATGCGCCGAGTCGACCAGATTTCACGTCGGATGCGGCGGCGGCGGCGTCGCCGCGCATTTACCACCGCGCGTCTAATGTTGCCGTGGTAACGCGAAAAGAAATGGGTCACAAGATATAAACGTAGCACATAGTCGAGAATTCTCACGAGATCCTTGTGAATTAAGCCTCTGCGAGCGAAGGGACGCGGCTCAGGTCGTTAAGTTGACGAGCAGTGCGGATATCCCGCCTCCCCCTCCTCCCTCCCGCGAAAACGATAAGGACGCGCACGAGCTTACCGAAGCGTTAAATAAAATAATTATGAAAACTGATGGAAAGTAAACGTGCGCACACCAGAAATCAAGGGACTAATTGGGTCACTCCTCCTTCTTCTTTTCTTTTTTTTTTTGACAAGCTACAAAAATGGCTGTCTGCAACTGAGGAAAAATAGAATTATCATTAGTTACCGAGGAGCGTTCATTAGAGTCAGCTTTTTTTACTTCTTGAACTTTACAAAATTATATCCGGCTCTGTGACATGTAAATTCAAACGAATGACGGACAGTAACAGAGTTTCAAAGTGATGAATCAACTCGACATCCTGAACGTCTTTAACTTTCCAAGTATACTAACGGCTGATCCCTCGTGATATTTCATAGTGATTGGATGACGCGAGATCATCGCTTAATCGAGCTTTAGCGCTAATTAATTAGAGTCCGTCTCCCGTCTGATACTTGTGCAAAATTAGCATTCGTCGTTTTGCGCGACATACATTGTGATAGATGGGGAATAATAGACTATTGGGAATCAAAGCAATTGAATGATTTTCTCTGCTCGCCTTACAGCGACCTATATATATATCCTTGTTATAATTAAATTTATCACAATCGACTATGGTCATCAACTTGGCTAAACATTTAAGTTGAAATATCTATCAATAATTCATAACAAAACCTCTCACATTAAAGTTTGTTTAAAGTAAAGCTATTGAAATTGGCTTGAAATGAAGGCTTTTATTCGATTTATACTCTTTTAAGACATTACTTTACCAAGTAAATTCTAAACTAATGAAATTATTAAACTTTTAGCTGTTGATTGTAATGATTATAACCATTAGAATTGTTGCAACTTGGGAGATCATTGTATAATATTAAATAAAATGAAAGTCAACTGTACATCATTATAATATTAAAATTTATACATGTACATTTTAAAAGTGTTAACATAATAAAAATATTACAAAATTACACTGTTTTTATAAAATGTAATATTTCATGTGTATCTACTTCGTATTTTTTACGCACGCCAATTTCCAGTGAATTTTGTTATTACGTTTAAACGAATTAACAGAAATACCCGAAGCTGAATCCGCAGGATTTAAATATCGTGATATTCCGCCATTAATACGTAAGCACTTCCCGTTCCGGTGAGCACCACATTTTTCTCAAATCCTATTAAGTATGAAGGATGAGACGTTCGTAAGATGGCGAAATTCTATCCTAAATCCTGGATCTAGCTACGCGGATGATACACGTCGTTTTGCCATAGCAATAAAGTTATCAAAATCGTAAATGCATAATTGTATGGTATTCTTTTCTGCATATGTAATACAAACGATCTTCTTCTTGGACTCGAAAATTCTATTTTTGTTTTTATATTTTTGAAAAAAAGCTATAATTATTTA